AAATTACAGACATACGTTATATAACCTTGCAAATTGTTTTACAAGGTTATATTATGGGACATTATCACTATAAGTTACTTTCATTTGGTCAAAAGTCTCCCGTTGTGTGCATCCTTTCAAATGCAAAAACTCAGACTTGACTCAGTTTTAACACCAGTAAATCAGAAACCACAATTAGTTCAGAGCTGTAATTTGCTATTTAATCTATAGAGATTTAAAATACATCTGGAAGTGGGCCAGGGGCATTACTTATTGAACACCCCTCGTATGAATATTAGAGAAAAGAGTGATTTTTTTTTATACATAAATGTATGTAAACCAAAAGCAAGTAAAGATGCTATTGATAAAACTAAATGTTTAGTTAGTTTAGTTATAAACCTCCAGCAGAAATATCCTATTATATGTAAAAAAAAGAAAAAAAAGAAACATAATTCACAACATGCCCTGACAACAGCTCTAAAATAAGTTTTTTTTTTTTTTGGGTTCCTGTCAGTTATTTTCATCAAAGTTTACCTGAATTGTGTTGGGAAATGTCACCTAAATTTATATAAAAGCTCTTTAGCATCCTGCCAGGGCTCAGTGGCTCTCAAACACAAGTAGGTCGCTAAGAAAAAATAGCCCAGTTGTTTTCATCAGCCCCTCTCACCTGTTGGTTCCTTTAGTGCTTTGAGGAATATTTCTCAAAAACTAGGCCGGGAGGAGGTCAAGACAACCTTGAGCTGTGAAAAAAAAAAAAAAGGAAACGATTTTTCATGGTAAAACTGGGATTTTTGTTCATTCTACATCTTTGACGAAACCTTTAAATAAAATCCTGATGGGCTTTGAACATCCTGAATTTTCCTTCAATGTTTTCAAAGGTTTAGAAAAGTAATGAATATTTTCACATTTTGCACATTTTCACACTGCTATAAACTTCTGCGGATTTAATCAGAACTGTATGCAATGCACCCAAACAAAGCAGTGCAAAATTGTGAAGTGAAAGGAGCACAATGTTTGCAACTTGCATTTTGCCACGAGTCATGCCACAACACATGGAAGAAAGCATTTAGGTCTAATAAGTGTTTTTCTGGTCTGATGAGGGCTTTTTGGCCTACATTAAGAGAAAAACTGGATTTCACACCATCCGTAACACACCATTCTTGGTTTAAAATGTGATTGTGGTAGCTTCATGCTGTGGGGATTATTTTCTGATATAAAAAAGGGGATTTGATAGGACTAAATATAGGAAAATGCTAAAAGAAAACGTGTCCTAGGCAACTAAAGTATGGGATGTTGGTGTTCATTCATCTACTAATAGAACAAAAACCCTAAAGGAACATACTAGGAGGGAGTGATACTTCAACACATCCTTTGTTATAATAGTCTATTTAAAGACCAGATCGAAATCTATTTAAGAATCTGTGAGAAACATGTTTACAGATATTCTGCTGGGTACTCTTTGCAATTAGAATTTTAAAAGCATCTGTGCTTTTCCTTCCCACTTGTATTTATACATTCCTACAGAGAAATGTGTGTGGTTGTAGCACGACAACATCTGCAAACAGTCAGGGACAATGGATACTTTTTAAAGTACTTTATATTGATGTTTTAATGCATCTACAAATTACTAACATTTTTAATCACTTTTGAATGTATGCTTTAGTGGAACTATTCCCGAAATTATACATGTAGATTGTTTTCCAGACTACAGCACAACTTTACAAGAAGTAAAATGTTCCTGATGACAGTATGTTATAGTTGAAAAACCCAAGTCAAAATCCCCAAAACCTCCATCCGGTTGGATGAAACAGGATTAAATAGATCAGAGCTTTTTGAGACAAAGGCAACAGAGGGAGCTAATGCACCTACAATGAGACCTTAACATACTTGGAACATTTTGAATCCCTGGAAGCAAACGAGATAGATTGGTGTGTTGCTGCCATCTGCTGGGCACAAATGGTAACTGCACTCGACGGTGGACAGCAAAAGACAACATTTTAAATTAAAAAAAGGGGAAAGAATAACCATGTCAGTCGGTAATAATGAAAGTATGAAGAACCTGAGAAAACATGCAGTGGCAAAAGCAACTCATAGGTGAAAGTAATAATCAAATGATGCGTTAATCGGATATCTTTCATAACAAAAGTGGCGTCCACACTGTTATTACTATCTCTTTGCCACCCCACCATAAATAAAATTTATATTAAAGATAGTGATCGACTTGCCACACACATAAAAAAAACAGACACAAGGTGAACTCAATCAAGCACTTAGACAACACACACTTACATAAATCACAATTGAATATTTTCACAAACTGTAATTATGGTGTAATAATTGAGGGAAACAAATTTGACTTCAAATGCTAACACCCCAATCTTTCTGAGTGGTTGTATTTATATATATTTTAATCTAGTTTTATCTATTATTTAGAGCCCTGAATATTTAAAGTAATTAAATTAATTTAAAGTCCTTGATCATTTTTAAAGGAATAAATAATAAATATAACCTTAATTTATTGTTTTTGAGTTTAGCAGCTACGTACTCATTATATATGTGTTGTTTTGTCCATTTTATTGTGACTATGGTAGATATACAGGTGCTGGTCATAAAATTAGAATATCATGAAAAAGTAGATTGATTTCAGTAATTCCATTTAAAAAGTGAAACTTGTATATTATATTCATACATTACATACAAACTCATATATTTCAGATGTTTATTTTGTTTAATTTTGATGATTACAAATGACAACAAATGAAAATCTCAAATTCATCATATCAGAAAATTAGAATATTACTGAAGACCAATAAAAACAAAGGATTTATAGAAATGTTGGCCAACTGAAAAGTATGAACATGAAAAGTATGAGCATGTACAGCACTCAGTATTTAGTTGGGCCTCCTTTGGCCTGTGTTACTGCAGCAATGCGGCGTGGCATGGAGTCGATCAGTCTGTGGCACTGCTCAGGTGTTATGATAGCCCAGGTTGCTCTAATAGTGGCTTTTAGCTCTTCTGAATTGTTGGGTCTGGTGTATTGCATCTTCTTCTTCACAATACCCCATAGATTTTCTATGGGGTTAAGGTCAGGAGAGTTTGCTGGCCAATTAAGAACAGGGATACCATGGTCCTTCAACCAGGTACTGGTAGCTTTGGCACTGTGTGCAGGTGCCAAGTCCTGTTGGAAAATGAAATCTGCATCTCCAAAAAGTTGGTCAGCTGCAGGAAGCATGAAGTGCTCTAAAACTTCCTGGTATGTGGCTGCGTTGACCCTGGACCTCAGAAAACACAATGGACCAACACCAGCAGATGACATGGCACCCCAAACCATCACTGACTGTGGAAACTTTACACTGGACTTCAAGCAACGTGGATGAAGTGCCTCTCTTCTTTTCCTCCAGACTCTGGGACCTTGATTTCCAAAGGAAATGCAAAATTTACTTTCATCAGAGAACATGACTTTGGACCACTCACCAGCAGTCCAGTCCTGTTTCTCTTTAGCCCAGGCAAGACGCTTCTGACGCTGTCTGTGGTTCAAGAGTGGCTTGACACAAGGAATGCGACAGCAGAAACCCATGTCTTTCATACGTCTGTGTGTGGTGGTTCTTGAAGCACTCACTCCAGCTGCAGTCCACTCTTTGTGAATCTCCCCCACATTTTTGAAGGGGTTTTGTTTCACAATCCTCTCCAGGGTGCGGTTATCTCTCTTGCTTGTACACTTTTTTCGACCACATCTTTTCCTTCCCTTCGCCTCTCTATTAATGTGCTTGGACACTGAGCTCTGTGAACAGCCAGCCTCTTTAGCGATGACCTTTTGTGTCTTGCCCTCCTTGTGCAAGGTGTCGATGGTCGTCTTTTGGACAACTGTCAAGTCAGCAGTCTTCCCCATGATTGTGTAGCCTATAGAACTAGACTGAAAGACCATTTAAAGGCTTTTGCAGGTGGTTTGAGTTAATTAGCTGATTAGAGTGTGGCACCAGGGGCCATCAATTTTGAACCTTTTCACAATATTCTAATTTTCTGATATGATGAATTTGAGATTTTCATTTGTTGTCATTTGTAATCATCAAAATTAAACAAAATAAACATCTGAAATATATGAGTTTGTATGTAATGTATGAATATAATATACAAGTTTCACTTTTTAAATGGAATTACTGAAATCAATCTACTTTTTCATGATATTCTAATTTTATGACCAGCACCTGTATCTATCAAGTTTTCCAACAAATAAGAAACAAAAGGGAAGCAAAAAAACAAAAACTACAACATTTGAGATGGCAGTGTTTATTTTTGAAAGTGATTGAATAATACCTTTACTACTAATAATATTGATTTTTTATGTACCGTTAAATAATTATTTGTACTATTAATATTACTGATACTTGTGTATAAACCACTCTCTATTATTACAGATATTGAATGCCACCTGTCATAAGTCTTCATATACGTCCCACAGCTAAGAAATCATTTTTCTAAACATATTTCTTATTTATATTCAAAATCAACACGCAACTTCAAAACTTGTTAGTTTATAAACAAACAAACAAAAAATTGTAAATTTTTAACGAATATGATTTGAAAAGAATATTTGTTGTCCAACAAAAACTTGCTCTGGGAAATAAATAATTCAACCAAATAACGTACAGACATCAGTCAATTGGATAGAATTTGTAGTCACTTTTTAGAAATCTATCTATAAGAGTAAACTTATTGTTTCATACTATGGGTCCGCTCATATCTATCTTGTATTAGTTGGAATTGACCGTGCCCAGCTGTTTTGTTAGTTTAAATCGCAGAAAAAATATATTAATAAACATATTCTTGATACGAATGCATTTCAACCGACGTTACAATCCTATTTAACTTCCTTGTTTTCATTAATACTGTGCTTTTTATTATTTCACTTTAATTACTTCGTAATTCCCAGTGCCAATCTTTTTCTTTCTCCGTGCAACTCTGCAGTTGGCCAACCTATTTTTTTCTGTCTCCATCCTAGACTTTTTTTTTCTTTTTTTTCTTTTCTCTTTTTTTATCCAGGCTAATATTCAGGCCGGTGCTGCAATTTCAGAATCTGCCCTTGTATATGGCGGACGAAAATTTCCACAGGAGGAACCGCAACACTAACCCCCTGTTCACGGCGTAGAAACAGCTCGACGAAACCTTCAAATTCAACACTCAAATACGCCATCTTAGCTTTACTAAAATGTAACGTAGCGGGTCGCAGCGAAGGCGAAACCCCCCCGCTATGGTGAAATTTTTATCATTTGGAATTTCTCATAACTAATTCACAATTTTTTTTTTTTTTTTGAGGAAGCAGTTTTTTTGTGCCGTCACCTCTGGTCGGGGAGGGAGGATTTTCTGGAGCACGAGCCTGTTTCGCATGAGCTGCATCGCATTTAGAGGTATGTAAAACCGCTTTTTTCGTTTTTTTTTTTTTTTAGATTTAAAAATCCTAAATTAAAAAAAAATGTTGCGGATATCAAGTTTTCCCCCCTCCTCTTTTTAACACGACAAAACCGAGTCTCTTTGCACTACTGTCCGCCTCTACAGCACATCGGCTTTTAATCAATTTAAATAATCTGTTGATGTTATTTTTTTTTCTGTTGGAGCTAGAAATTTTTAGCAATGAAGTTGCAGTGAAAACTGCCGCCGTGTCCGTGTAGCTAGTTTGCGCACAACGTCCGCCGCCCAGGTAAAAAAACACCGTTTATTACAATGGATCCAAGTCGGAGCAGACGAGAGTGGCAACATGAAGGACGAGGAGGGGAGGAACAATCTGAAACACTAAAACCTCCTGCAGCCATGTTTTCTTAATTTTTACTGCAAATTTGAGCAGAGCTCCGGAGTTGGCGCTCCTGCCGTTACAAAGCTTTTACAACCACCGCTATATTAAGCGTTTCTCATGGATAAATTAAAAGAACAATAAAGCGTGCAGATGTCGAAAGCAGTTTCGAGATGTGTTTAAAAGAAATATAGAGGATTTAAAATCTAGTTGACAGTGGCGCCACCTGTCGGCGGACATTTTGAGAAAATTAGAAAATGTAACGAGACTAGTTCTGAGACTTTAATTTGACATTCTCTTCTCTCTTTTTTTACTCTTTTTTTCACTCTTTTTTTCATATTATTATAACAATTTGCAATCATTGTATCTGTTTGTACAATATGTTTTATTTTTGCAAAAAAAATTATATATATATATTTTCTATCCTTGAACTATTACCTATCTTTCTATAAGCAGATATTTAGAAGAAATAACTGACAATAAGTCATTGTGTTTTTGTTTTTTTTGCAAAGATTGAAGCTGTGTAGAGAGAGAGGGGGTGTATCTGAAGTGAACTTTATAGCACTGGAAGAAGAAGGGAACATGTCAGCATAATTTGAGGGCAGGAAAAACAATCACAACCAGTGCCTCTACTGTTTATATTAATCCTGCAGACGCCAAACAGTTTTCCCATCTTGCAGGGCTTGCTTTTTATTTTAATGTGTGGGGAAACTGCAAGAGGCCTTTTTTTTCTTCTCTATGAGTGATTTTAATGCTGACCTTCAGAAACCTTTATTCATTCAGTTCTGAGAGCTAGTGGGGAGGTAAATGTATTGGTCGGTATGCAAAAATCTGAGTGTAAATTCTGACCTTTGCTTTAAAAACGATCAAAATGCATGAGGTCTTGTTCGACTGTGGAACTGCAAAGAGTTGCTGTGATTCATGAGTGTAATAACAAAGTTTACGCAAAAGCATGCTTATGAAAACAAGTAGCAAGTTATTAAACACGAAGAATAGAAACAAATTAACTTTGTCAGGTTTAATCTCAATTATAAAAGCAAAATTCAGTATTTGCAAAGAGATTTAGAAAATATATTGGTAGTTGTTTGTTGCTTGTTTTTCTTTCTCCCACCTTTTAATTTCCTCAGTAATGCTAACAGATTCAGGCACTAGTTGGGAACACTAGTGCTATATGTGAAGTCACAAGCGTATGGGAACCACTACACTAGCACTAGGATGCTATGAGGCACAATTTAATTTGAAGTGTGTTTGTGATGCTAAAAAAGCAGTGGTGGGCAGTTATTTTTCCCAAAGGGCATCTCAAGCAACTCAGGCTTTTACTGGAGGAACGAACCATTGGCTGGAAACAATTTGTGCCAAATATAGTTTTTTTTTCTTTTCTTATTTAGGTAATTAAAACCATATACACACCACTTCCACTACTAAAACTTTATTTATTTACTTTTCTTTTTTCTGTTAAATTCTAAACACTAATGAAAACTGAGCAGATTCTTGTATTTTACTGCATGCTTAGCGTGGGAAGTTTTTTATTTTTTTTTAGGATAGTTAATTCTTCTTTTGCAAATAACAACCTTAGTCCCTATATTTTATACATATCTATATTCCTCATCAGTTAGCCATTTCTAGGGTTAAATGGCACACTGCTTGAGGAAAGTGAAAGGTGCCGATTATGGATGCCTAAGACATCCAAATAAAAGCAGTATATTGAGATTTATGCCACTGTGTTATGGATATTTCAGATGTAATTTTCAAGCTGGCTGGTTGAGGAGATCTAAAAGAGGTAATTTGGTTTGTAGATGATAAATGTTTAACTTTATGTTGTTATGCTTCACTGTAATATCACAGCAGCAGAGAAGAATGGTGAAGTAGAGACATGGATGACATAAAAAATAATCCTTAGAGGACAGCAGTCTGCTTCTAAGGAAGACGTCAATGCTCCCCAAACTGGTCTGTTATCTGCTGTCAGTCTGTGAACATTTAATTGTTATATGTGTCCCTTCTGAAACTCCTTCTAGTCTCTTGATACACATAATATTGTCTTCTAAGTTTGGCCTCAGAGGTTCACATTTGTTCTCAGATGCAACAGATGAGTCCAGGCTCTTCATCAGTGCTAAGTTTTCACAAAAAAGAAGCTCTATTTTGGGGTCTTTAGCTAAACACTCAGGTCAGGTCAGGTAGGAATTGTTTCATCCACTTTGCTTTTGAAAATCCTGAAATTCATATTGAAGTTAGAGATGAATGTAAAAGGTAAGCTGCATTCACATCTGTCGGTGCTTAAAGGAATAAAGGGTGAGCTGTGGCCTGGATCAGTAGAGTTACTAGTTTAGATGAAGAAGTAAAACTTCTCTTTGGTCTCCGAAAAACATTAGATGGTGGAAGATTAAATCACTGCCCTCAGGGTAGAGATTTTAAAACATGGCTGCTGCTCTCATTGTCAGAATATTGGTGCAGAAGGATCAGGTATCGGTTTCTGCAAAAAGAAAAAAACGAAAATTGACTTTGTATTCTTTTCGGAAAATACACAGAGCCAGGTTTATTCTTTCATATGTTAAAAAAAGAACCATACATTTTAAGCTTAGTGAATACCTTTTGATCTGTTTATTTCCATAGAGGCATGTTGAAAATGTCTGAAAATGGCTTCAGTTAAATTAGTCTCAGGGGACAGCTTTTTAAGGGTTGGGATGCTGCATTAAACAAAAAAAAAGAAAAAAAATTGTACATTCCACTTTTTTTCCTTTGTAAAAATGAACCTTATTGCTTTCATGAATAATGCATATGGATGTTCAGTCGCTGCAGCAATGAAAATTAGGCCTGTTTACGTGCTGTGGTTATATACACAGAAGCTGTTTTTTTTTTCTCTCTATTTCTAAAGGTAGAGCAGAGCCTGAGTAGCTTTTCTGAAAATACAAATTTTCACCAAAGCAAATCTCATTTCTTTGAGTGAAAAGAGGAGGGGGGGAAACTCCCGTGGGTTTAATGAATCCATAAATCACAATAGTGCCAGGTTTGCTGCGGCTGCGTCAGCGTGCAGTGTAATTTTGATTTTCATCAAAAATTTAATCTTCCAGCCTACAAGGGTTTAGCAGCAGTCCGGATGCAGCCCTGAATTTCTAATTTTAGGGGCCTGATCTTTCAGGATTTATTTTTGTATAATTCAACACTGCTTTTCAATATCTCTTGTTATTAAATTTTAATTCGTGGCATTAACATATAGATTGAAAAGGTTTTTATGGGTTTTTTGAGTGTATGCTGATGGAATTTTACCAGACGACACAGTTTCTTTTTCCAGAGCATCCCATGTGTGAAAGCGAAAGACGACGGTGGCGGAGTTTATCCATTTCTTTGCATTATTGCTTTTTTGAAATGGGTGGCCATATACCATCTTAGAATATATTTACTACAGAGGACAGACAGACTTTGCATTTGATTAAAGAAATGGAAAATGCAAGCATTAGTGTGAAACAGGTTTTAGTCAAGTCCGGCTCCTAGTCTCTCACTATGCTCTGGATAATATAAACATGCAGTCAAAGCAGTGATTGAAGTGACCCCTCCCCTCCCTCTCTCTCATTTTTTCCCCTGTTTTTTGCTGATTCCTATTTTAATCCCTGCAGAGTGGAAACATTTTTATGAGCGTTAAACAAATTTGTATTTTATATTTGGAACCTTTTTTTTTTCCATCAAGTTAAACATGCAGGGCTTAGGGACTTGTGGTCAAGCATTGCAGTTTTTGTAAAAATGAGTAAACCTCAGCAAGTTAGAAGCGCAGTGATTGATAAAGGGGATTATTGTGCAGAAGCTCATTTAGCGTTGCCCAAATATAGGCTGAGTGTTTTAAGCACCTCTGGTAAATGCATTGAAGTTGAATCCAAATTTGTCCTAGAGGTGTTTTTCATGTATGCATAACCTCATTATGTTTTAGCCCAAAATATTTACCTTATATGAATTCAGAAGTAGACAGTCCAAAAATAAAGTTTGATGAATTTTAAAAAGAAATAAACTCATTGGGTATCTATGTCCATGTCATTTTTGTCTTTGTTTTTAAGATTCATGCAAAAATAGCACAGGGAGGTTTGACTTGTAATGTCTTATAAAAACCAAAGTTTGAATGCCTTCATGTTTTGTCACATTGTAAACACACTTTATTTTATAGGGATTTTAAATATAGACAAACACCTATTACATAATTTAGTGATGAGGAAAAAATAAAGGAAATTCTGGTAATAAAGATCTTTAAAGTGTGGCATGAATCAGTATGCAGCCCAGATCAGGTAATATGTTAATGCTTTCAGCTGCAGTGGTATCTCGGTGTATGCTTCTACCAGCTTTGCAGATTTTTACACTTTTGTAGCGCTCCATTCCTTGTTTTATTTCAGTTTCTACCTGTACACTGGGCCTTTCATCTAATGCACAATATGTTTTTGATCCAAACCATCCCTTTAACTCTGGCTGTATGTTTTAGATTGATTCAGGTAAACATGTTACCAGTCTCAACTCTTAAGTTGAAACCGGTTACGCCCTAAATGGATCTCCATCCATCATCATTAGCACTAACAAGCTTCCCTCGTCCTTACCAAAGACAGGCCGTCCAACAGCATGATGCTACCACCACCTCATGTATTC